TTTTCGCAAAAAATTAGCGCTTTATTTGTTAAAAAATGTGGTTAAAATTAATAATTTGGTTGAACTTTTAGGTTCATGTTCTAAGGAATCTTATAATTGAAGTTGATTAGTCAAATAGTTTTGGAGTTATTCCTGACGCTAATTTTAAAAACATGGTTTCGAGGAAAACGCGTAAAGGGACTAGAACGTTATGAACGCGTACAGTTAGTGTGCTCCGCGATCGGAAGCACGTTGATTCAACAGGCTACAGTATCGATACAGAGTTGAATTTTGGTCTATAATTTTGATAATTTATTTTTGAAATGTTTTAGAAGCGATATGTGTAAAAAAAATTTTGTTGAATTTTCGGTCGATTTATAGGGACTTCTTCCCTTAATACTATAAAGTTTGTCGAGACAAATTCAACGAGGTGCCACATTCAGTCATTTCGTTTTATGGAAAATTGTAAACTCGTGAAGAATTTGTGTTAGTAGTATAGTCAAATAGGGTTTAGCTGGCCGAAGGCGTGTTTCACGTGTTAACCTGACTCCCTGATTCTTCATTATTTTACGACTTTTCACAAAACGAAATGACTTGGTGTGGCACATCGTTTAATTCGCCTCAACAAACACTATCGTATTATGAAAAAAAGAAATATATATACAGTAAATTCTCCACAAGTGTCAGACAGTTTGGATTCTACAAGTGTCAGTATAGATGGTCCTACGCCTAGGTCTGCGTCATTGCTGCGCCTCGCTCGCTGTCAGTCAAGCGTGTAACGCTACACCACTCGGTTTCTTTTACGAGATTTCACGGCTGGACAATTCATAATAGAAAAATATCATTTCTTTAATTTTACTTTTTTTCATCTGAAATTTTTTTTAACACGTTGGTGAGATTTTTCTGATGAAAATGATATCAAACACGACATAATTTGAACAACATTTACTTATTCACTGTCACGCCAGACAGTGAACGTGTTAATAAGTAAATGTTGTTAATACGTAAAAAACGTAAAATTAAAAAAGTTGGTATTTATCACTGTCCTTGTCTACGTTCGGCAAACTACAAAGGCGGGCGCGAGGCTCGAAAACGTAGTCCCTGACTCTACAAGTGTCAGGTTTAGATTCCTCCCGGACTGACACTTGTGGAGAATTTACTGTATATTTATATAGCGTTTCGTTTAAGAAAGTAAACTTGATCTTGAAATCTTCCTGACGGAGATCTCTTTATATTCCGCAATATACACTCTATAATTTTATTACAAGTGTAATTTCCGATTTTACTCTCAGTAATTGCCTCTCCTATTTCCTACAAATTTTGGGAACTCATTCGGGATGGAAGTATTTATATATGACCACGACGACGAAGCGAAAGTTGTGTTGCGAAGAAACATGTAAGGGGTGCACGTCCTCCAGTTTTGGCTGAGTGTCACTAATTGTGAACAGAAGAGTGTACCTGAAAATGTGAGAGAAAAAGAGGTAAGGAAGTTGCGCTTGGGACATTCTAGGGCGAATGTCAGTGCAGGATGGCAAAGTGGTGAGATCTACCAAGAGCAATAGCAACGAAAAAATACTAAGGACGCCTTGGCTACGGGCGTATAGTCCTGGCTTTTTGCCAATTGAAGGTCGCGGGTTCGATTACCGCTTTGGGCCCTTCAGTTTTCCTCGGCTTCTACAATATTGACAATTTATCACTGATATGACAGGTGTATCGTACATCTCCGACAGAGAAAGTCTCTGATTATTGTGATGTTTGAGTTAGGGTTGACTCGATAACAACACGTTGGCCTTATCTGAGGGCGAGATTTCAACTTGACAGACTGTTTCCAAACTTGGAGACAGTATCGCGCGTATTCTCACTGCTCTGCACATTCTTGCGGATACATATATACAACATCTATTTAAGCAGTAAATGTGTATTGAAATTTCACGTTCATCGATGTATCGTGTTCGATTCTATGCAACCTCCCGTGAACTTTGGGGTATTTCTTTTACAGTAAATTATGCCAAATATGTTCCATTAAGTTCAATGTATTCTGGCATGACAGAAAACACTTTTTACTTGAATTTACAATGATTAATCTCTGATTATTTTATAATAAAATTGGACGAGAGCGGGAAGGATTTGTTAGAAAATAAGAGTACACTGTAAATTTGATAAGTTCCTTTATTTATTTATTCTTTCAGTTATAATACAAAAAGAGGCAAGAAAGTAGCACACTGTGTAATATCGTGGATTTTCATAAATGTAATTGAATAATAACGTTCTTCGTGTTACATATTAACTTTAAGCAGGGCCGTGTATAACATAAATTAATGTGATGCATTACTGTATCAAATAAATAAATCTAACTATAAAAATAACTAAATTTAATTAAAAAATATGTAACAATAATAATACTTTTGTTGCAACGCCAACGTCATATTTGGGCGGTATCTTCTGTCGATGCTTTGGTGATAGGGGGAAACGTACGCGATAAATATTTTCGTAATCTCAAACTATAATAATATAAATTAACACAACTTCAGCAATTATGTTTTTTTTTTTTTTTTAAATAAATATCATCCTCATTCTTGTGTACACAAGAAGAGCGCCAATTTTCATTTGCACGTCTAGGACCGAAAAAGTTTTGACACGGCTCTGATTTTAAGTCAACAATAGACTGCTTGTGTTCAAGTAATATATTTCTGTTTTGCTCGTTGGTTTAATGTATACGCTACTGTAAAAGCCCGAAAATGTTAGGTTCTTCCGGCAAATCCAAAGATTTACCAATAACACGTGATGAAAGTTACAATTTAAACGTAACAATCTGTGTTTCCGGACTTTTACCGATTTATATTGGTCTAAATTAAGATTTACCACTGGTACCTCTGACCTTTTACTTTTAGGTTAGGTTAGGTTAAAAAAAAATGTAACGTAACCTAACCTAATTTTCTGCGCTTAGGCATTTGCCGCAGTTCAGTAGTAAATCTTAAGATTTGCCAATTAATTTTTGTAAAAGCACGAAATAAATATCGATTTCATAATATTTCGGACTTTCCTAGAATTAGACAGAGAATTTCCGCGTCAATCTTAACATTTACCGGCGTACGGACTTTTACAGTAACATGTGGACTGAAACATAAACAGCAATGGTCGCTGCTACGTCAAAATTATAGCACAGATTCAAAATTTTTCTTCTCCAGTCAATGGCAAGTCGTCGAAATATTTCAGCCAGTTGATATTTATTATCGTATGTGCTTCATCATCTAAATTTTGCAAGGTTAACCGCAGCCGATTGTGGTGAGAGACTCGGCAATTGTAAAATAGCAACAACTCAAACTTTAACGAACATAAATTTTGATATTTGCAAACTTATAATCTAAGAAATGTCGAGAAATACGGAAAAAGATATAGCACCGGTCATCCAAGAGCGACGGCAGTAGAAAATACTAAATTCTACTGTCTAAATATCAATGTACGAAATGTACAATCTGTTATACCAAAGTGTGAATATTCAAACCGCAAAAAATTAATGCATAAATCACCGTTAACTAAAGAAGCTCGTTTGCAATTTGCTGAAGAACGTATTTGATGGAGGAAAAATTAGCGAAAATTTATTTATACTGGTGAACAGAGATTTATTGTAGATAGGCCGGCTAGACGTTGTTACTATTTCCTTGATTTGCATAAAGAAAAGCAGACATTAAGTCGTCGTCAAATGGGTGGTAGAGATGTAACGGTATGTGCTAAAGTTAGGTACTGTGAAGTAAACAGTTCAAATTATATTCAATTAATAGATGAACAAATAAAGAGATATGCAATTAAAATTGCGGGCAGAAATGTTATTTTTCTATGAGACATCTCGTGAAAAACTACTTGAAGCAGCAAAATATCAAGAATTAACCCTTTTCACTCGGAGGTGACTTTGCTGCAGAAAAGGTTGCAAATCGGACCTTGAAATCTTTTCAAACTAACGTAGAAATAAAGTATACTGTTTTATTTAAATATTCAACGTATTCTCTGTCTCACCGCGGTGAAGAAATTTACGGAGGGCCGTAGATCTGTTCCCTGTCTTCGTTAATTATTCACCAAGTGACGATTATTTAATGTCGCTTCTCAGTCGCCACTCTATTGCAAAGGGTTGACAAGATCTGTACAAGCAAAGGGAATTTCACACTACTGGAGGACTGAAAAGTTGTATTCAACAAAACTGGAGATCATTCAACCACAAATTTGTTAAAAAACTACATAAATCTCCACCAAAACGTTTGATAGAATTTATACAAAGTGACGGCCGAGTCACGAAATATGCTATCTTTTTGTCGCCCCGATTTTCTGTTATTTTCTGCTATAATCGAGTGTTCACTATTACGGTAATAAATGTACTAAAATAATTCGCCGCTCTCATTAACACGTTAAGTGCGGCGTCAGTCCGTGGTGACTGACAGTGAACTTTCCGTTCAGGCGGCGTCGGTCCGTGGGACCGGCAGTATCATGTTTAAAAAATAAATGTTATGCACTTCTCCTACTTTTTTTTTTGCAATTTATGAACACTTCTTCTATCAACCCGGATTGGTATTTTTTCGTCTGAATGCCGTGTGAGCGCATTTGTTATCTTCTGTTTATACTCTACAACCGAACAGCTCGCGAAGTGATCGCCGCTGTGTGCCGCCTGAACGGAAAGCAGAGCGAAATTGGCTCCGTGCTCAACGTGTTAAACACTACAAACGTAGAGAGCGAAGTAACACCTTCGAGATTTCAGAAAAATTATATACATATAGGGTGTGCTATCTTCTTTGTCGCGTAATGTAGATGCACAAAGTGTGTTCAAGGAGGATAATGACGATGCTACAAATCGTGATGTATAGTTTTTTATTTTTCATTTTCATATGTACACTCATTAGTCCAGAGTAGTTATATTAATCGTTACGCGATAATTACAACAAAAGTGCGACCGACGAATATGGTCGCAAGTCAACGATATTAAAGAATAACAGGTTGATTAACGATACTTTTCTTCTTCTCCTTTCCTCTCTTTACTCTCTTGCGATACGTAACTGGCGATGTCTCGTGACATCTTGGTTGTGTGGTTGCGGCGATTCGCCCTCGAAAAGAGCCATCTTTAAACGTTTGCACTTGGCACGGCGATTCTTGAACCAGAATTGCACGTTTTTCGGTTCCAGTCGCGGGAACTTCTGTCGATACGGCATCCGATTCAGCTCTTCCGTATATTTCAGAATCAGCTGCGAATTAAACAAATCAAATCTCCTAAGATAATTGATTCGACGATAAGAACCATGGTGTACACGAAAAATCATACATCGTGAATGTTTGACGAAAAAATGAAAGAAACGAAGTCTGATACAACAGTACAGAGTCAAGTGAGAAACAATAATCGTAAGTTACGTGCAGTGCTGTAGTCGTAAAAGCAGCAGAAGGTATACGGTATATGGTATACTATGTACAGTTATAGAAATCCATACATTGTATTATTTGTTGAAAGAAAGATAATAAGAAAAATAATAAAATAATAAAATTGAACGTTTTAGTCGGGTATTTGGTGAAAAATCATCATTTTAAAAGCAAATTGAAACAATTTAAAATGTTTATGTGAATATTCAAAAATTTAATGTCTCAGAATTTTTTAAATTATCAATAAGCACAGGGTATACGCCGTATACCCTCCACTACAGCCCTGGTTATGTGAGAAATATGTAATTGCAATTTATGCAGGGTGTAAAGTGATTTCTTCGAAACTATTAATGGTAGCGTGGAAATCCTTTTCTCGTAGTATATGTAACATGTTCTTTTTGGGGGTATTTTGAGTAAAGATCTATCAAGGGGATGCCAAAACCATTTTTCAGGAAGGAAACTGGGAGACCATGAGCGTTAATGAGAAATCATTTTATTTTTATATTGTAGATATATTGCTTGAAGTTTTAGACAGTATATCATCGCCACAATGTAGCGTTCCATTAAAAATATAACACGTGCAAACAAATGGATCGTTTGATTTCTTTTTACGGTTATTATTAAGGACAGAAACATAGCTCTGCTTCTAGCAACGGAAAAGAACATGGCGGAGAGAATTCGCGTAGTTTGTAGCAGTAGAACCCCGTGTAACGTGATAAAAGAAACTGCTACTGTTCCTGCATAACGCATAAAAAAAAGAAAAACATACAATTTTTGAAGTTGAAGAAAATTCAACTGTACCGGCACTGAAAAAGTGACGTCGGTGGAACTTAATTTGTATCTCTCGCGTTATAGGCGGTACTACTGTATTGCAAGTTCTAATCAACGTCCGAGAAAGTATTAAAGAAAGAATTAACAAATGTTTGGAAGTGTGATATTATTTGATACGTAAAATAATTTTGCACGAATACTTAATACCGTAGTCTTCAAATTTTTTTACTAAAAGATATTTTCTATACAGTTTCATAATTATGTAGAATATAGGAAATTGTTTTAAGTAAATGTTGCTAAAGTAAATAAGATTTATTGAAAAATTCAAAAATTTGCACATCATTTCTTTAAAGAAAGAAAAAGGGGAGAGGATCGGTAAGGGAAATTTAAGAGGTCTCGTAAAACTACGAAAACTGTGGGGAAAAATTTTCACACTATCTTTAACAATTGGGGAGAAAACACTTTGTATCTCTTTATGTGATATACCCCACATGTCCTACACTACTTATATCACTTGATTATAACGATAAAAGTTAAGTAAATAAGTTAAAAGCAATAAATTAAATAAATATGTTAGAAACGAAAAGTATGATAAATTGTGTTCGAAATAAAGAATGGTCTTTAATAGAAAGATTAAGGTTAAACCGGAAATAACGGGTGCATCAAATAATATCGCGATATTAAACTGTTTTTAAACAACGTTATATTAAAATGTACTTGTAATATTTTTAATTTCGGCAAGGATTATTTACATCTTTTACTTCATTAATGTACGAGTAAGGTATATGTACTTACATGTACAATATATTAAATCGGGTGTTCGGTAATAATTGGTGAAAAATTTAAGAGGCGTTTCTACAAGCCTAAATGTGACAAAAATGAAGAATAACAAAACTGCGTTTGAGGCTTTGTTTTTTAGTTATTAACAATTAAAGATATTCCCGTGATCGAGCAATCCTCCCTACACCAGCGAATGTAGGGCACATCGAGACACGGGGAATTCAACGATCTTGAAAACTGACACATAGTCAACAGCTTACATCGTACAATTGGAATTCGAGGAATCGAGGAAAATAATAACATTCGGTGCGGTAAACGACATTTCCGACTTCTGTGGCACTAATGTTTCTTTCACCATAATGAGTGATTCCACGTCAAAATACACAGAATTGCGGTCATAGTCATTGATTGTTTTCAAACTCGCAGAATTTGTCGATAACACCGATAAATATTAACTTTTTATTTGGAACGATTCTCGAGATATTCAATGTTAACATTTTGAAAAATTGGACGGAATCAGCCGACGTATCACCATTTTAACCACAACATTTTAGCTCTGATTAAAGATAATGTTATAATCCTGCACTCTTTGTGAAGCTGAGGAAATGCTCTTTCCGAATACGTACATGAAATTTTACTTGTAATTAACAAATGTAGTAATAACCTATGCTAAAGTTTCAACTGTTGATTTTACGCTGTTTAAGGAAAAGAGCATTTCCTTAGCTTCAACAAGGAGTGCAGGATTATAGCATTATTTTCAACCAGAGCTAAAATATTATGGTTAAAGTGGTGATATGTCGATTGATTTAGTCAAATTTTTCAAAATTTTAACATTGAATATTTCGAGAATCGTTCGGAATGAAAAGGTAAAATTTTACACACTTTACATTCAATTTTGTGCATTTTGACGTAGAATAGGCTCATAAAAAGACAACGAGAACTAAAAAAAACTATAGACAAATAGATTAAACCTATGTTAAAACTGCACTAATGTGTAATAATTAAAATTTATCTGATTATATTAAACTAAAATTAAGTAACTTATCATCTTATAACTGTAAAGTTAGGTTTTCTTATCGCGTGGAGTACCTCTTGAAAAGCTTCACTTTTGTTATCGAAATGACTCTATCTTGCCAAAGCTGATCTAGCCTTTTGCTAAACGTATTTAGACACGCCTAGTGAACGTCGTGCCTACTTCCTCTATTGTTATACCCTATTTAAAAGCGTGCTCCCAGGTTTTGAGACTATTCGTTGCCAATTTCGAGTTAGGCGTAAGAAACAAACGTATTGACTACGGAAGTCGGATGTTGTGTATTTTGCTTTTAGAATAAACTTTTGACCCTCGCCATGTCCTATTATGGCGAATTTTGGGGTATTTCTGTGTTGAGGAAGCCAAACATATCTTTTCCGTTTTTTGAAGAAAGTTGGAACAGCTGTGAATATTTTCGAAGAGCTACTCAACGCGAGAAGCAAACACAGCACTTAAGTTAATGGCTTTGTTATACTCGTACATTACTTTACAGTTATAATATTATACGTTAATTAGTTATAGTTTAGTACAATCAGTTAAATTTAATTCATTACATATTAGTATAATTTTAACAAAGGTATAATTTACTTTTCTTTAGTTTTCTTTGTCTTTCGTTAGTCTTTATTTCGTGTGCCTGAGTATGCGAATATTGCTGCGTACAGTGATTGTTTTTCAATGATTTGTGTGTAGTTTCATATGTTGTATGCGTAGCGCCTAATGTCATAGTCTTCTTCTGTATGACTTGTTCGAGGTAAGCTGCCAGCAGTGCGTCGCTGATTTTGAGGATCACTGTACCCTTGACTACATTCGTTGGTGTAGAAAGAGTTGCTTGGCTGCAGGGATATTTTTAAGTGCTGATAAATAAAAAACTAAGCCTCAAACGCAATTTTGTCATTCTTCATTTTCGTCTTATCGTGGCTTGTAGAATTATCCCTCAAATTTTTGACTAACTGTGACCGAACTCCCAGTACGTATTGGTATTATAAAGAAGGAAAGACTAAGCAAGAATTCAATGTTGGAAATATTATATAGTTGAGAAAATTGATTTATTCGCTTATTTCGAAACATAGCATTGGTTTCAAGCGTATCACGTATATCGCAAAATTATTTGAATCGTGAGCTGGATATTAACGCAGAGGAATGGCAAATTCTCATGTCGATAATTAAGCAGCATCGTTCAACTTACCGCGTGACTGGGATGAGTATTGTGAGTGAACCAAGCCTCAAGTCTCGGTACTTCCGTTACGGGATCGATGAACGTCCGGTTCCTTTTCCTCCTCTCGTCCATTATGCTGGTGGAACAACCAGCTGGTCCACGTGGCGGCAGATAAGGTGACATATACATTATTCCATGGCCGAACATTGGACTGGGAACTAAAGAAAATCCAGGCGGTAACGGACCGGCTGGTCTTGTCTCTTCATCTTCGGAACCAGAGGATACCCTGGCATCCTCTTGCTTCACCGACGACGGTGTCGAAGGAGGAGCCTGTTGATCCTCGGATCTGGTTGTTAATGACAGTGGACCGACCGATGGGCTGCCGGGTGGACAGGGAGAGGGTGATGTTGACTGAAAATGTACACGCATAACGATAACTATTTGGAAAACAATGAACTCTGAAGAAGCGTCGTTGAACGTGTTACACACAAATGGTATATCTGATATATTTTTGATCGATCTGTGAATTGTCATTTCACGCTTTTTTTTTATCATGCAAATTTAATGTCACAGTAGCAGAAAGAAACTAAGGTCTGAAAATTTTAGGGTCTAATAAGGCTTCTCTTGCTTGTAATGTTTCGTATAAAAAGTCATTTTCAAGGGTAAATTTGACAAGGATAGAGTTAGGCCAGGCGAAATTTTAGTTTAACGTCAAGTATTCTAATTTCTCCTTTGGAAAGTCATTCAATTACCGAAAGTTCCCATTGTTTTAAACCTCCCGTGTTATTTCCACGAAGAACATGCAAAGCATTTGAATTTTTCCGTGTTTCTAGACGTACCTGGTTTCTCGAATCCTCTTCTTCATCCGTGCAATCTTCGCTGACAATACTGGCGCCTCTCGGACTGAGCCCAGGAGGGCTGTAACCATTGACACCTCTGTTCTCAGCCCTCTTCTGAGCGGCTCTGGCATTCTTGAACCAGTAGACAACGTTATTTACGTCCAAGGGCTTCCTGCCTCGTCGAGACTCTAGGGCATTCAATTCCGAGACGTAGTGTTGAATCTGTTGACGTGACGGGTGTTGATTCTCACCGAACCATCGCTGAAGCCGCGGTAACTCCAATTCGGGATCGAAACTCGTTCTCATCCTAGTTTTATGCGAGTATTGGAGAAGAGCTGGATGCGGAGGACCGATCGCACCACCCGCCGTTCCGATGGTACCGCCTCCATCCGGCTGAGGGCTCTGCGTGTGGTGATGATGATGGTTCGAGGATGGTACCATTGGATTTAGACCCAAACCCAACTGTTGCTGTTGCAACCACGACTCGAAATTTCGTTTAGTCTCTTCTGATAAATCGTTTCCACCTCTACATAGAGATAATAATGTCATCTGTAAACCAAACAGTGCGTTCTGTTTAAGTAACAAAACGAAGGAAAGTTTCTTTGTTGTTATTTTTCTCTTCGAAATCTACTTTCCAGAACTCGGTTGTTAATTCGAAAAATCTGTCAACAAGTATTTCAAGGAATTTATACATATCTGATGGTCACGATGATAAAAGACGATAAATTCAAATAGGAACGAATTGTGGTAAAATATTGAGAAAATGCGAGCAATGAATTATTCGTAATATTTTGAAATTCAAAGAAGTCGTTTAGAAAGAATCTGAAGGTTTATATTTTGTTTAAAATTTAAGCATTATTTACAACGTAAATTTCCCAATGATCAGAAAATAGAAATATTCGAGTGAAAATTTTTGTCTCGTCGTTACTTCATTAGTAAGATAAACTATTATCGAGCCACAGTTATAAATGATAATGAATAATCTAGCGGACGTTGTTTAGTTTCAAATTTATTGTTAAATTTCCAAATAATCCTTAAAGTGTGCCCACTTATTTGGACGATAACACGATACTCTATTTGTTGCCAGATAATTTCTAATTATACCTACGGCAAGGACGAAAATTATCCGGTAATAAAATTATGCTGGAAATTTCTAATATCGTTAAATAAGAGAGGTAGGTGGGCATCGGGGTATTGTAGCGGTATAACTCCATCGTTATGGCATTAAAGAGGCAGATTATGGAAAAGTTTAGGCTCGTAGGAAGTAGTACGAGGTTTGACAAACGTATGCGTTATCTGAACAATGATTTATAAGAACAAATATCTCCGCCCGCGAAGATTAAGGTACTCGACGCCACTTTAATAACGCTGTAATCCGTCCAGTATCCATGGCACCTTGGTAGCGCCAGATACGGCGCAGAACGGTTATTATCCACAGCCTGTCACCCGCTAGAATTCTCATCCGGCGAATTTTACAACCCGGCACTTAATCACTCAGGTAGGCAGTCAAGACGCGAAGCGGTTGACAGGATACGAGATTTCAGAAATTGGTAGATAAACATGTAAACATCACCGAAAATGAAAAAAACGGGCCATCCAGCTTACCTGACGACATCGCGCTGTAATTCGAGCACTGATTTACGCCTATTTATTATTTCCAGATGACGTACTAGCGTCAGCTGATCATCCGTAGGGTAGCAGTAAATCAATCGTCGTTGCGAGAGCTGATCAAATATTCTCGAATGTGTTCAGGGGTATACGATACTCGGATACGCAGACTTTTCCGTAATACAGAGGCTGGCAATCGGGTATCAGCGGGAGATAAAGCGAGAAAACCAGTGGGAAAATTAGACAAGGTTTTAACTTTTGTTATCTCGAGATTTTGAATCTATTACAATTAGTCTATACTATTCCTCTCTATATAACAACAATGCCAAACATTGTGCTTTTCTGTCTGCTGATAAGTATCGAAGTTGCTTCATCGTTGTGGAAATATAAGAGATTGTTAGGAATTTGATGTACTAGACACTGCTCTGCAGACTTAACGAACTAATGTTACACGCATACGTAAAGACAAATTATGGCGAAAATCGAAGTTTTCACGAACAGAAGGGTCTCTATGTAAGCTACTGCCGAATTGAATTTTCTTCTTCGTTATTCGCAAAAACAGCGAAGAGGAAACGATAAGTTCGCGTACACGAGCAATTGATTCGAATCCGTAAACTCTATATGAAGATCACACTTGAGCAACAACGATCACAGGGCAATGATACTAAGATAAGTGTTAGAGAGGGTAATCCTAGTCGTGACAACTACTCATGCAAATTTGTCGAGACTTCATAAATCGGCCCGTTGCTGTTGTTGGCTAATATGAATGCAGAGTCTTGGCCGAACAATCGGCAGATTAAGTCGCACGAACACGAGCCGACGGTTCTCCATCACAACCGTTCGCCATTAGCCGACGGGCCGAAACTCGAGCAGGAAACGTCTGTCGGGGAAAATTGGTAATCATAGACCACCGCGAGCGGCATTAAAGTTCGGGGTTGGGCGAATATAGCAGGATCTTCAAAGAGAGTGCACTTAGATAATGCCCGCCCGAAGAGGGAGGAACACCCCCTCGTCCTTCTCCTTCTTCCGATATCGAGGGGGCTTTTGATGAAGGCTGCGAATTTGGTTGAGTAAAGGGTAATCCTATCACACGATATGAGATCTTCGTTGCCGTCGAAAGGGCACACTCGCGCGGCCCCACCGTGGAAATCGCGCCACGCTGCTCTTCAACTTTCGGGAAAACCAAGTCGAATAGCAACCCATCTTCCCGACCATCTTATTTTGAAAATTAAGGATAGAACTTGACGATGGTTAATCGCCATTATTAAATCGATCATCGTTTTTTTTTTTTATTTTTGGTACATTTGTAAATTGGACACTGTGTTTTCAAATTTGAGTATTAAACTTTGAAAAGTTTAGTCTTGAAAAAGTTTCTACGACTGAAGAATAAAGTCTACGAAATCTTTAGAATTGTTTTTATTGTATTTGTAATGATTCCTTCTTTTTCAATTTTCTAACGACTTATAACCTATGCTATTGCAATATCTTTTTAGAATTATAGAAAATATTCAAAATAAATCAGGATATTACTTGTTATCAAGAATGTGTACATACAGAGTATTCGGCCATTTCTTGAAGAAAATTTAAGGGCCGATTTTAGAAGTCAGAATAAGACGAAAATTAAGAATAACAAAATTGCAATCGAGGCTTCGTTTTGTAGTTATTAGCGTTTGAAAATATTCCTGTAACCGAGCAACCTCCAAGACACGAGGTGTACACTGATTCTCAAAATCAACGACCCACCTTAGCTCGTAAAAGTGGCAAAGAAGAAGAATATGACATTCGGCACCGTAAACGGTATTACCGACTTTTACGGCACTATCGTTTGCTTCACGACGATACACTTTCTTTCTTCTAATTAAGTTAACACTTTATAGCCATAAAGTAATGTCTAATTAGAAGAAAGGGATGAAAATAAGTGCTGTGTCCGCTTATCACGTTGAGCAGCTCTTTAAAAGTTTCGCTTTTCTTGTTGAAATGATTCTGTCCTTTCAAAGCTTCCACCGTTGATCTTCCAACGTTCTTTAGACACATCTAGTGAACACCGTCTCCATTTTCAACATACCTTGCCATACCTTTGCTTAAAAGCATGCTTGCAAATGTTGAGACTATTCCTTTGTTGAGACTAAAGCACTGGAAAAGGAAGTCGGACATTCAACTACCACATGTCGCGTTTTAGCCAATTAGTGGATATTTTTCTCCCGAGGAAGTCAATGTCTTTTCGGATTTTTGAACAGAATCAGTTTAACAATGAAAGCGAAATTTTTGAAAAACTACTCGATGCGGTAAGCAAACATAACACTTATTTTCGTTTCTTCATTCAAATTACACACTTTACAGTTATAAAGTAATAAATCAAGTATTTTTAGTTTGGTATAATCAGTTAAATTTAGTTTATTACATTTTAGTATACTTTTAATGTAGGTTTAATTTATTTTTCTTTAGTTTTTCAGATTTCATTTCGTGTGTGCGCGTGCATGTGAATATTGTAGTGTATAGTGATTATTTTCCAGTGATTTGTGTGTACATTTGTATTTGTTGTGTATACATATAGTGTACATTATGCTTGCTGTACACAATGGAATACACGTTTGAAGAACTTTCCAGCATGCACCTGTGTGGTGATGATGGAAATGTTAACGCCGCAGAAGAATATTACTCTCTTCTTCGCCACGATTTGTACGAGGTAAGCTGTCGGCCACGCGTCATTGGTTTCAGAGGATCACCGTACTTCCCGTGTCTTGACGTGCCCTATATACGTTGGTGTAGAGAGGGTTGCTTGGCTACAGGGATATTTTTAAATGTTAATAACTAAAGAACGAAGCCTCAAACGCAATTCTTTATTCCCGATTTTAGTCTCCTTTCGGCTTCTAGAATAACCCCTTAAATTTTCTCTCAAGTGTGACCGAACACGCCGTGTGTAATTTCATTTCTTTCTATCCGACGCCGTAAAATATACTTCGTTAGTAATTAAAAAAAATTTGAAACTTTAGATTAAAGAATTTATTCCCAAACATATCGTCTTTTTTTATTAAATGTTTATTAAAGTATTTAAATTGCTAATTAAAGTTGAAAGGAATGAAACTTCATTGATAATTATTCACCATCCAGTGCTTAATTAACTGAAAATGTTTTCCATGATAAAAAGGGGGGTTATAAATGTCATTGTGGTGACTTAACACCGAGAAGACATTTATTTAAGACGAAGATCAACGAGTGGCGACCAAGAATCTACCAAAGATTAACACTGGTTGTGAAAGGAAGAGCAAGAGTACCGGACGGAGGACTTCTTAATGAGATTAGGCGCACCAACGACGAACACTCCCTGGTTATATTTACATTTTATACATTTTTAAGCGATCTTATACCGGAGACTCGCTTCAGCTACTTGATGCCAAATTATTCTTTGATTCCACGTTTCAATGCTTTAATGTAGTAGCTCGATCTTAATCCCCGTTCGAAATTACCCATTCTTTGCCAGTACAAAAGCTCCACCTTATATAGAATTAACTTGTAATCCCTTAAAAATTCAACAACTTATTTCTACGTTTAATTATTGGTATCAGATTACAAAAATTTGTCAATTGTGATGTTCTGTGTTGAAAAACCGTTTCCAAACCGTCGAATTATATTAATAATTATTTATGTATATTTAGAAACAAAAATTAATGTAACTTACCTCGTCTAGAGGACAACCGGCTGAGACGAGAAGCGCATGGCTATGCAGTAACAGCAGTCTTAATAATTTGTTTCTAACTTCGGCTGCTGGACTGGGCGGCGGTGGTCTCGATCTGTATACTTGGATCTTTAATGTTGCGACCGACGTTAGCTCACCCAAAATGTCGCCGACTGTTAACAGAGGACCATCTGCGACTTTTTCCATTGGCAATGGTTTCCAATTCCTTATGACGATGCTTCCTCTTGCGCTTGGTATCAAGTCGCTTGAATATCCAAGACGTATTAACGCCTCTCCTACCAAATCCTGAAAAAATGAACAAATTTAAAAGTTACAGACTATCTTCATGTTGGACTGTAAGATTTTAGATTGGTTCATGGCTTTACCAGAATTATCAAATTCTACTAAGTAGATTACTAAATTGCTAAATTTGGTTGATTTACACAGACCGACGCAGAAGCCCCTGATACTTTTGCAAAACAATTAAAATGCAACATTCAGATTTTTTCCATTAAGTGCAGAAAATGTCACTTAAATTATTAAATTCGTCGTTTGAAACATTTTTTATAACTTCTCGCAAAGCTTCAAGGGTTGTCTTTTAATGTGTCAGAGATTTCTGCGCCATTCTGTATAAATAAACGCTATTGGTGCCTCTTACAATTATTTTCGACACTGGAGTTTTCGATTTTACGCAAAAATAAAGTATGCTTACCTGAAAAGGCATGGCTACAGGGATGATAACGTACGAGTCCGTTTCTACTTGAGGCCTCCGCCAATTCTCACGGGAGTTGCTTACATGACTCTCTACAATGTTGTGGATCGTTTCGACCACACAGTGTACTGGAAGATTCTTCCCTGGAATAAAAATTGCATCCGTTATTAAAACCTTTTCATTGTTTCACGAAAAGTGGTGATTAATCGAAAGGTATGATCTTATATCGGAGCCGCATTTACCATAAGGCGCATTTGGCGCGAGCTGAGGTCTCGCTTTCTATGGGGTTACATTTTAAAACCTTACTTCTCGCAAACAACAGTATGAAAAACAGTCTAGCTATAGCAGCGAAATAAAATACTTATTTTTAAATATTAAATTCGTAATATGAAAAGAAGAGGAGAATTTATGAGGGTCCGCTATTCATCAAGAGGTCGACATCGACGGGAATTTCTACAAACCAATACTTTATTAAAATGAGTTATTATGGAAATGTCGGCACTTATTTTCTATAAACTTGAAAAAAATGTATGAATTTGATTAACTAAAATAGATTTGTTCTTTTGAGGTCTCGTAGTGGTGTTGCGCCTAGGGCCTTCAAAAGTATAAATGTGGCTGTGATCTTGATTGATTTCATGTATTTATGAAAAGAATGATGTAAATAACATTTAAGAATGTAGAAGTACGTTTTGAAAATAGAGATAAAATGGATTAAAAAATTTTTGTTTTATTGTTACTTATCGTTATTGAAAGAAAGAATTAAAATAACATATGGTTATTAAAAGAAGGAATCATATTTAATATACTAAGATTTAGGAAAAATTTTTCCGTTCTGTTTTCTTGAACTTTGTATATTGATATAAGATTTACAATATGACATTTTTTAATGGAAACCTATCTATCGTGTTGAACGATTTTAAATCATCTTTCTAGTAGTTTACGAAACTGATCGTAAAAGAAATAATACAGGTTTTGAACAACTAAAGTATATCGACGTAAATTGAAAGCAGTTTGTTTCATAAGTGATGTTCCATTGACCCGAACAAATGGTAGACACTTCTACAGTGCGTTCAAACTAAGAGTAACCTCGCTTCGCGCATGAGACCTGCGTAAGGAAGGGCTAGAACATCCGAACCCCCATTTAACCGCACACGTTTTTCTCCGTCTTACCCTCTGCTACGCTCTCTGTCTACTGTTGCGGGCATGTCGCCTCATATACATACACGGTGATATAATTAATTCTCTATTTACTTTTGCATTGTTCTCTTTTTGGTCTTATTGCTGCTATCGTTAACAGAATGTTTCTTACGATCACATAAAGACTTTGAAGATCTATTCTGATTTTCTTCCATACCGTTTTGTAATTCTTCAAATTTTATTTCTTTTTCTAATCATGCGACACTCTATGCGTTAAAAATCGTTCTTTTGTCGGATTGCTTACCGCCCACCTTTCAGTAAGTTTACAGCTGCAATGCATAATTTTATCTCTGAAAATCTTTAATATATTTCTGGAACGTTTTCTGTATTAAAGAAGTTGAGGACAAACGAATAAGCTGAGACCTTTAACTCAAAAATCAAACTTTCCTATTTTTGAGTTGTAACGAATGAAATTTTTATCAACATATTTGTCACATTTTTCTGATTGAAACGATACCAAACACGACATAATTTGGAGCATATTTGCTTACTTAATAAATGATAATAAGTAACAAGTAAATACGTAAATATAATCCAAATTTTTCGCGAATTACGCGCGCGACACAAAGTTGAATGCACACATTGTTGTAGTCTCTATTCTCGAATGCAACATCGATGGAAGCACTATTTCGAATGCAAAACATCGTTGTACGTGGTACTTTTGAATGCAACACTGCTTGAAGCGTTATATTTGAACACCAGCATTGTTGGAATCCCTATTTCTGATTGCAACATTATTAGAAGCGTTATTTCGAACGCAAACATTATTACAAGCACTACGCACGAATGTAACATTGTTACAAGCGTCATTCTCGCTTGTAACATCGTTAACTCGTATTATTTTCGAGTGAACATTGTGGCAAACGTGTTATCGCGCTTGCAACTTTGTTGCCTACGTCGCTCCCGAAAACTGCACATTGTTGCAAACACGTACCTGACTTGCAACTTTGTTGCCGAAAACCGCTCCCGAAAACTGCACATTGTTGCAAACGAGAACCGGGACTTGCAACTTTGTTATCGAAAACCGCTCCCGAAAATTGCACATTGTTGCACGACGCGCCGGGTTGCAACAATGTGCAATTTTCGTGAGCGACTTTCGGCAACAAAGTTGCAAGCGCGACAACACGTTTTGCAACATTGTGCAATTTTCGGGAGTCGCGTGCACGACACAGTTGCAAAAACAGTAATCGCGTTTGCAACTTTGTTGCTGAGTGTCGCTCCCGAAAATTGCACATTGTTGCAAGAGGAGTAACCGCATTTGCAACTTTGTTGTCGAGAGTCGCACCCGAAAATAGCACATTGTTGCACGACGCGCCGTTTTGCAACAATGTGCTATTTTCGGGTGCGACTTTCGGCAACAAAGTTGCAAGCCAGGTACTCGTTTGCAACAATGTGCAGTTTTCGGGAGCGACTCTCGACAACAAAGTTGCAAACCCAGAACGCGTTTGCAACAAAGTGCAATTTTCGGGAGCGACTCTCGACAACAAAGTTGCAAGCCCAGAACGCGTTTGTAACATTGTGCAATTTTTGGGAGCGATTTTCGGCAACAATGTTGCAAGCCCGGTACTCGTTTGCAACAATGTGCAATTTTCGGGAGCGACTTTCGGCAAAAAAAAGTTGCAAACCCGGTACGCGCCTGCAACAATGTGCAATTTTCGGGGGCGACGTACGGCAACAAAGTTGCAAGCGCGATAACACGTTTGCCACAATGTGCACTCGAAAATAATACGAGTTAACGATGTTACAAGCGAGAATGACGCTTGTAACAATGTTACATTCAAGCGTAGTGCTTGTACTAATGTTTGCGTTCGAAATAACGCTTCTAATAATGTTGCAATCAGAAATAGGGATTTCAACAATGCTGGTGTTCAAATATAACGCTTCAAGCAGTGTTGCATTCAAAAGTAACGCGTACAACGATGTTTTGCATTGGAAATAGTGTTTCCATCGATGTTGCATTCGAGAATAGAGACTGCAATAATGTGTGCATTCAAGTTTCAAAGGTGAACAGTGAAATAAAAGTATCTTGCTACTTAAAAATC